GGGCATGGTGAGAGGGTTAGGCAGAGTGTGGGAGTGGGGGGAAGGGAAAGGGGGAGAGGGCAGGGGTGTCAAGGTAAAAGATGATGGGTTAAAGAACTGGTGTGAATATGCCTCTAGATGTTGGTCTTTTGCCTCTGTAGAGGTTTTTGGTTGGTATATACCGAGAGGATCGCTGATCAGGTTAATCCATCTAAACTCATGTATTATTCAGAGGTTTGATTGATCTGAAATCTGCACCCTTTGCTGAAACACAAGCTACTCTAGAGAATAAACTGACCTTTAATACTGACAGAGTACCTTAAGCCCCACAATCACAAAAAGGAGGAACCATTACAACAAATCATTACAGTGACGCATACAAAAGGTCAGACTACTTTGCTTAAATCTAAAAGTCTGTTTAAAATAATCCAGAGCTTCAAGTGCTGTTCTGTGATAAAGGCTTTTCATCTGTGAGTTTATTTTATTCTAAATTGACGCAAGACTGAACACAATAGAGATAACTGACTCAAACACACCTATGCTTTGTTGAATATGATAATAGATGATATCTTGATGAACTGTGCCCTAGACAGAGGTTACATCCGCACTACTACGTTTCCCTTTTAAAACCGAACGCATAAATTTAGAAACAATGACGTAGACACCCGTGTTCGCTACGTGATTGGGTGATTTGTTTCTACATGGATAATGGATTGCAAGCGTTACTGGCCTTGTTGTCTATGCTAGCAGCTGTTGTGCAGTTAAATAAATTCTACATTTTATAATTCTACGACTGCCCACATGCGGAAGAAGCAGCTGTTTTTGGAGCGATTAGCGAGCGGCGTGTCCAGCGGCATTATCAGCCCTACGGAGCGGACGTCTGACGTCACGGTTTGCGGCTTTGAGGAGGGCGATGGACACAAAACAGAGGACTTTACTTTTCTTATTAATGCTTATTTTGTTCTGCACAACTATTGTAAAGTTCACACAGAATCTGTAAATGAACAAAAGCATAAATGCTCTGTAGTGCGACAGGGACTTCAGCCACCTGGCAGAGCTACGAGTGTGAAAACAGACAACGAAACAGAGGAAACGAATGAGAGACGTGTGTTGACCACATTTATGGACCCATCATCCAGTAAACTTTGATTTTTAAGTGTTCATTTTAAAGTAAATTTGATGCGTGTGTGAGAGACAGAGCAAGACCTGCAACCTTGTAACGAAGTTTGAAGAATAAAACTTTTGTTCGTTAAGAGTTTATAGAGGAAGATTTTAAGTATCAAGCACCACCTTTCATTATTTAAGACTACTCTAATACTATTAATAATTACTATAATATTTTCTGTAACCAATCTACTTCCTGTTTACACCGGCAGCCCATGCCCAGTGTACATGAATCGTCATGTCATATTAGTTTTCAGGCTTACAGTATGGAATTACTGTTTAAAGTAAACTATGCAAATGTCTCCTGGTATTCCAAAATCTAACTTTGAAGTTCTACAATCAATGGATTCCAATAGTGACAATTTTTTTGTGGTGAAAAAAAGTTAATAAAACATCACGACAACTTATCAAGCATACAGATGGATCATGAAAAGAGGGGTTTTAATTGGTTTCTATGGTTTTGTATAGATTTTTCTTTTAAAAGTTTAAAAACCAAATATCTCACAATTTGTACCAGTTGTTCTGCTCAACAAGTACACAGACCAAAAGACCAAAACTGTGGTTATTGGAAGCATACCTGTTACCTGTATAGCAGCTGAATCGGTTTACCATACAGCACTACATGCAACTCAGCGCTTTGACCAGCCAGTCATAAATTTAATAATGATTAAAAAATACGTGAAACAAATAAAGTTTGCTGTCACTCTACTTAAAACCAACATCTAGTGGCAATTTCACACCGTGGGCTACAGCATATATAGATGCAGCTGTCACACCAGCCAATCCAGCAGGAGCATCTTACCACAGGACTCAGGCTTCCCCTCTGCTAGCAAACTGCTGCTGCCACTCTTCTGCAGCACCAGAGCTTCTGCTCACAGCCCCCACCACGCAGACAGCACAGCAGTGTACAGAGACACGCACAAACAAGACAAGAACCAACACAAGGAAAGGAAACACAAAACAGGAAAGAGAAAATCATGAGGGAGAAAATTAAATGAACAAATAGGTAGTTTAATAAAACATAATGATTTGGACAGGCAGGAGTGCAGTCACTAAAAAATAAACTCGCTAGTCTTTTGTTGAAAGTGCCTCCAGTCCTATAGGTGGCACTCTACCAACGCATTGCGACTGCGATGATAGTGGTCGCATTTTTACAAACTTTGTGTCCTGCATTAAATTCACCAGCTTTAGTGGTTTAAGCGCAGATTTGATTGTAAAATGCACCAGAACCTTAATAAAATAAACCAAATTTGCGGGCTTTGTGATTCAAAAGTATTCTGGTAATACTTCAAAGGCCTTACCTAACTGGAACTGAGCCTGCGGCTGGTAAAATACCATTTATATCCAAAGCACTTCAGGTCCGTCTCTCAAGACTAGATGGTGGCAAAAGACCCGATGATAAGAATAAACAAAAGATAGTTTATGCTAATAACAGAGGAGGAACCGGTCTTGGTCCAAGCCTTTTTTTAATGTCCAGTATATTTTACACCGCTAAAGATAACTTAACTAGTGGTGTAACAGATCATTGTTGATCCGGGATTTGTACGGATCCCCCCTCACGGATCGGCCCGCATGTGAACCGCGGATTAAAAAAAACATGATCAGGGATCTCTAAAAGTTAGATTTGCTCCTCCCTTTTTTTTCTGGGATCCGATCCGAACCGTGACTTTTATGATCTGTTGCACAACGAAGCTTCATTTTCGCACACGATTCATTTGGAAACATGTGACTTTCGTGAGCCAGCATTAACATCCATTTCTAGAGTATCTGACTACTCCTGCCCATCCTGAATAAACCCAGTTTGAAATTATGACAGAAAAGATGACATCTAGGAAAATATTATCAAAGAGTTCATGCTTCAAGATAACTAAAAGGGGATAAATAGAAATAGAGACGACCACCATGCAGACATGCAAAAGACCATTACACAAATCCAAACATGACTAATGTCAAGAATGACCCGAAGATATAGCTTTCAATTAAATCAGGAATAATCTGCCTCTCTGTGGTTACTTTGCACTTGGTTTAATCACTGCATCATTCCAAAAGTGGAAGGAACCACCAGAGAAACACAAGAGGTTCTAGTGCGGCTCTACACAACAACGTGCAGGTCTTGTATAACCACTGAGAAAGCACATCTTGTCTATGTTTTGTTGCATCATACAGAGATAAGCCGCCATGTGGTGTGGAGGATTTCCTATTTTGTTTTGAATACAGAAGCTTTAGTCATATCTCAAATCATGATTGCTGACAAACACTACAGGGAGTGTCAAACCAGTGGGATTCTGAACCCTAACAATCTCACCCTGCTGTAACCTCGAAACTGGAGCGCACAACAGGCTTAATGGCTTTTTGTTCCTGTCAAGTATGCATCGAGACCACCCAACCACTTTTAACATACGAAACGCACAGTGCACTGATTTATGTTAAACTACAAGAACCACGTGGACATTTAACATGCAGCTGCAGATTTTAGGGTCCTATAATCAAACCTTTCTTTGCTTATCGGCTTAAAACCTGCAACACCTAAAGCAACATCAGCTTGTGCCAAACAGTCGGTATAATGCAGTGCAATGAAGACTTAGCCAATAAACACTTATTATAATGTCCATTAGTTAGAATTAACACACACAGCTCCAGTGGTAAGACTCAAACAATTATCTCAGATCAGACCACACAAGTGAAATGAATGTACAATGTTTAAAGAGAGCACAATACATATATAGCAAGAAACACACACACACACACACACACACACACACACACACACACACACACACCACCTTTCACCATCCCAGCATGCCTTGAGCATTGAGCAAACTATCACCACCACAACTGTTTCATGAGACAGTGTTTGTGTGTTAGAGAGAGAGAGAGAGAGAGCGAGAGAGAGCGAGCAAGAGAGCGAGCAAGAGAGAGAGCGAGAGAGAGCGAGAGAGAGAGCGAGAGAGAGCGAGAGAGAGCGAGAGATGTATGAGGCAGTCAGATAAAGTGATACATACAGAGATAGAGGGACAGGATAGAAAGACAGCAGAGTCTGTGACAGACAGTAAGAAAAGAATGAATAAAAAAACAGAACAGAGGTGGAAAGTTACCTGTCGGGTCAAACTCATTGGAGGGAAGTGATGTTTTGTCACTTTTGGGTTTCTTGTCCGGGGGGTGGTCTTTACTGAGAATGCTGCTGGTTCTAGAGAAACAGAAAAAAAGCATTGGCATTTATCCCGCATGTGCTGTCATATGCAACACTGTAGACTTTTAGAAGAAGCATTTTTTTTTTTGCACGAGATGCAAGCAAGTGAAGGTTCAGGAGGAATTACAACAGCACACAGAACCAGCAATTGTTCACTGTAGCATTGAGAATAATGTGGCAAGATGACCCCCGAGTGTATGAATCACGCTGAGTGCGTCTACTGTATAATGTGACAGCCAGAGAGGATGTGGAGTCGCTCTGCCGAGTGCCCGGGGAGCGAGGCCAGAGAAAGGACGCTCCTCACAGGAGGTGCTACGAGGCCAGACTCCGGCCTGAACCTCGGGAGGCTATGTATGGCTGCTTCTGCCTATGCCGGCCCCAACTGTGAAAGGCCACTGTTCTGTTCACAGTGAAAGGCAGTGATGGACCGCCCTCAGAAGAGGGACCCCTTTGTCCCTCACTCTGGGTGTGTGTGTGGTGCGTGTGTGTTTGTGTGTGTATACATGAGTGAGACGGGGGGGGGGGGGGGGGGGGTATGTTTGGTCTAAGCTCTGAAGACTTCTGTTGCAGCACAGCAGTTCCTAGTAATACCTGCCTCATTTCCCTCATCAGGAACTCTGTGTATGTAAACCACTGGTTGGTGTGTGTGTGTGTGTGTGTGTGTGTGTGTGTGTGTGTGTGTGTGTATGTATATGTGGCCACAGGATGTCATACCCCTAAACATGCATAGATATTTGCAATAGAATTTGAGAAAATAAAAATCCTTACCTGTTTGCTTTCTTGGGAAACCTGCAAGATAAAACAGAAGGCTCATCAGTATCTCACAGCAATGAACTGATAGACGATGAATGCAATGAAGTGAATCAAAGCTGAGCATGTATGCGTAGATGGAGGGTGGAAAACAAGACGCCAAAGCTGACAGCTTCCCCTGAGACCCATATTGTGGTAAACATGATAATCCTGATGAAACATCAGAGTTCTTCAGCTGCAGATTAAAGCCCTTTCCAGGTCAAATGTCTCCTGCCTCTTAGATCTCAGCTGTAAGTACATGTATGTGTGTGCGTGCTGTGATTTAGTTCCTGACAGACATCATGACTTGACTGTAATAATCATCTCCTAATCACATCCATGGCCTGTTTCCTTCGAGGTAGCCTGCCCTGAGAATGATTACTGCCACAGCGTGAGGTAGAGATGACATTATTTAGGGATGCCGTCAGGACCGTAATGGAAAAGGTCGTGTTTTCCAGGAAGTTAGAGATCTATGTATTGACATGCTGTTGTGGCTGATGCAAATTGAAATGTCAATTTAGATTTAGGGAGATACTGCAGTGTTCATTCTCACAGTAGGCGTTTGATCTCATCTTGATAATAAAACCCGATGGAGTGAAAGTAATTCAGAGTGAAATAATGAATTCTGCATTGAAGATTAAAGGTTTTCCACCTCACTTTGACAATGCCTTGGACTGTAAAGAGTGAATATTAGCATCTGTGGGAGTATCAAAAAGTGGACCTGGTAATTCATACATAACAACCTATTTTAACTCCGGTACTCTGTAAGTGATACGAGTGATACAAAGTGTGATATGAGCCACACTTTGAAATGGGCAAAATGACTTATTAAATTTCTAGGTTCCCTGGAAGTCATTGAGAGAATCTATACCAAAAGCTATTTAAAGGCCAATGTTAATCATATATTTTATATTTTATGCACTTTGCACTGAAAGGAAAATCTCCTGAACACACGCATAGACTTTGTGCCAATTAACTAAATCTAAATTATTCCTGGTGGGTTCTGCTCTGAACAGGAGGAGACATGTTTTGCTATTCTTCTTCATGTATTTTGACAAATAGCTAATGTTGAACCACAACATTTTTTATTGTTACCAGTTACCATAAAACCTATGTAAAGATGCAGTTTAATTTGTATTTTATTATTGTGATGAAGTGGAGAGCATGATAAAGATTGATGTCTCAGCCAGGATATAATCCCACAAAAACAAAATACTTTTTTATACTTTATTGTAGGGCTGGGCGGTATGACCAAAAATGCATATCACGGTAGTTTGTAAGATTCTGGCGGTTTCACGGTATATCACGGTATTTTTTTTTTCCACGTTAAAGCATTAATTAATTAACGCCAACCGGCCAGCGAGCGGTGAACAGCTGTTTGTGTGGCGTGGCTTCCGTTCCGTCACTTCCTGTTTCCTCCACCTACACTCCCCTGGGCCCTAAGCCCCTCCAAGTACAGCTTCTTATCACCGTCTAACAATGTACATTTATAACAAATACCACACATATTACACCGTAATCAGCGTTGCATATGTGTCTAACCAAAATACATTTTGTTGTTCAGTCTTTGTTCATCCTGCATCGCTCTTTTCTGTTCTTTAATGTAACGTTACTGGAGCGACAGAGCCTCTCCCAGCTGTTAGCAGACTGTTGTTAGCGAGCTCTACCCAGCATGCAGTTCGGCAGTGAAATTTTATAAATGTACAATTATTAGTGTTACTGTTGTGTTGTGGTGTTTTGCCCTATTAAAGAGCGTTAGTTGTGGGTTGTTAATTGTTGTTATAAAGTTGTAACCATGACTAGGGTTCCCTCTCAAAACAGTTAAGAAACTATCTCCGACCTTAGTGCTCATAGTCTATTGTCTGCTCCATGCTCCGGAGCAGTAGGTGGCAGTAATGCACCAATAAGATGGATGCCAATCGTCATAAAACTAGAAGAAGAAGAAATAGCGCTCTCAGCGGCGAACAATATATTTAGCTGCCTGTTGAAGAGCGACAGAAGTTGTTTCGGCTGTGCACCGGTATGACGGTATATGAAAAATTCATATCATACGCGAAATTGAAACCGGTATACCGCCTCAACCGGTATACCCCCCAGCCATACTTTATTGCCAAGCCTGCATATCTGTATTCAGGGAATATATTTGCTAGGAGGGATAACAGATCATTTCAAGTAAGGTTTGACACTTGTAAAATGTAAATGTAAAATAGTCAAAGACAAGAATGAACCGGTTGCACTAGTATTATTTAAAATCTAAATGCACACAGTATTAGAATACAAAACAGTTGTACGATCACTACACCAGTCTTCCGTAACAGGGAGGACTCATGACTAACTAGCCCACATTAACTCTTTCTCCTGGCGACAGTGCGTCCCATTCAGAGCCATGCAGGAGCAACTGAATGGCCCGTTTATGAAAATGCCTCCGACTGTAATAAGTTCCAGAGCCTCCAGCAGAAAAAAAAAAAAAAATAACTTTAAGTAGCCCACTCCCTAAGAAACCTCTGAATTGGAGAGATGGAAACACATAAACACACACACACACACACACACACACACACACACACACGCACACACACACACTAAACTGGGACATGCGTACGCTCATGGATGGTAAAACTGAGTAGGCAGATGTTGTTCTTGGTCCATCATACAGGAACAAATAAAAACGTGACAGGCAAACCCAGTTCTAACGGGCTGGATGATGCACCAGGCTGCCTAATAACATTTTATTCATGTTAAAACATGAGAAGGAATTTGGTTTAGTATAATATCACGTAGTATCTGTATTTCAAATAACTATGGAGTGACCTGCCTAAGACCCATTTAAGGGCTGAAGAGAGGGAGAAAGGAGGTCATGAAGGAAGATGGCAGCAATGGCCAGAAACAAGAGGAAGGAGATGTTGAAGAGGCAGCAAGAGACTGAAACACAAAGCACGAGATAGAAAGCAAAAACAGAGAAAAAGAGAAAAAGCATATTTAGAAAGAACATTACTGATACTGAACGCAATGGAAGAATTGAACATTTATGCAAGTTAAGCCAAAAAGCAGTAGTGATGAAACAGAAGGCTGCACGCAAAAAATGCGATCAGGACATCGGCATGTACGTATGCTTTTCTAGTCGCCGATCTCTGATAATGTTCCACTGTAAACAACCAATCCGTGTAGAAAATGACCGGAGGAGAGCCGGTAAAGAGGCTAATGCGTTCAGGCTCTGTCCGGTGGAAATGAGTATTGTTGGGCGATGGTAAATTATGAGGTTATCATGATGTGGTCACATGTGATACTTGAATAAATCCAGTTGTTTGAAGGAGATATAGCGTTAGATATTAGAGATGAATTATGACCTGTTTACACTAGCTCTAAGCAGATTATAATACATCATTAAAAATACTAATAACAATGTCTTATCTTTTATTTCCTTATCATTTTAATTGTTTTACGAAAAATTACTGTAACAAAGTAAAACGATGACATTTAGTGACTTCAGAGTGGTTGAAATGATGTTTGGGCCTGGAGCCTTGTGGACCAGCTGCTATAATCAAACAACAAAGGGATCTGTATCTGCCAATATGGATCATGAATAATCTGCAATATATATATCAGCTGCAACAAAAAACATGATCAGGGATCTCTAGAAGTTATATTTGTTCCCTTTTTTGTTTTGTGCTGATCCGATATTTGATCCAATCCGTGACTTTTATGATCTGTTGCACCACTAGTGGTAACCGCCGTATGAGCGTAATGTAGAGTGGCGGCAACAAGATATCCAGTGGGGCATACGCACTGGGAGTCACATGCACTATCATGCACACGCAGCCAGACCGGCTATGTAAACAAAGCACAGAGAAGCTCGGATTACGACACAATTTCTAATTTAGCATCTTTAAAGTGATGGGGGGGGTAGTTGTTGTGTGAGGTTATGGATATTTAACTTAGTGGGATTTTCACAACAACACAAACATACAGTATATTGTGACATATAAAAATGTCCTCAAGATGCAATATTCTAACGCAAACATCAGAAGCAGAGAGTGCTTCTCCAAACCTACAATAGAAACGGTACTTTAAATATATACAATTGTTGAAAGTAACAGTTGCCTGTCAATCAGCTGCGTTGTGTGCACGTAAAAGCAACATATGACATTACACAGAACTCCAAAGAGGCAGAAATAGTTGTACACAAATTGCAATAACTAAAAGTATTTGGTTTGGGCTGCACTTTTTAATGGTGCTTTCAATATAAAAGGAATAACAGCAGCACCTCGGCTGAGTCATGTGTGCCTCCATAGCGTATATATGTATAAATATACAGAAGATGCAACTGGAAAAATGACACAGAGCTGTTATGACTATGAAAATTCTGAGAGGAAAAGTTTGTCAAAAAGAGACTCCAGTCACTGCAAAGCTGACTGCTCATATTAAAGCTTCTCTCTTGAGTTTTCAGTGAAGAGAATCGCTGACACACAGTGACAGCTCATATAACATCACAGCACATCTCTAAGAAACCCTCATAATGGCTCCACATTAGTCTCTGTCCAGTAGACAACAGCTTATTGTTCCATGTCCTGATGATACTCTACTACTCTGTTAAGAACAATAAACAGCGTACACCAGAGCTTAAACAATAGTCGATTGATTAATCAGCAACTGATAAAATGTGCACATTTTAATAACAAAAATGTAGATCTTTGGACAAAAACAAGCAGTTTGGATGCTTCCGCTTGGGCTTTGTGACGGCTCTTTTGCAAACCTAACACTTATTAGACTAAATGATGTATTGAGATTAACTTATCATGCAATGTGAACAGTAGTGACATGTGTATTTAAGTTTGGACTTTTTGTCTTGAGATTATATGTAGATATTGCAGAAACTCTGACAACAACATGCTAAAAACAAGAACATAATTTCCCCTGAAAAGCGACAGACAGTGTTTAAGAATCAATTTCACTCAGCTTGTTTAATTCTTCAGATCCAACTATAAAAGTGTCCCAAGTCT